GGGAGAAAATCTTGAAAATGTGATCCCTAAAGGATCAAAAACCAGAAGGCATCTAAAAAGAAGCCAAATCCACTCTCGTGATTTTTTTTTTTTTTCTGATTCATGATTTTTGAATGCTTGGTGTTGGTAATACTTTTAATATGACAAATGCAAAAATACATCATGCTGCACCTAAAGGGAAGTGTATCTCTAGCATAAAGAGTGCATTTTAGCATTAATGGTAATGATGGTGGTTAGGTTCAGGCTGATCCCTTCCCCCACATATTTTCCATTTCCCTAAGCAGGTACTAAATATATGGAGTTATACCTATCTCATAGAACTGGAAGAGACCCTGAAAGGTCATTGAGTCCAGCCCCCGCCTTCACTAGCAGGACCAAGTACTGATTTTGCCCCCTCAAGATCCCTAAGTGGCCCCCTCAAGGATTGAACTCACAACCCTGGGTTTAGCAGGCCAATGCTCAAACCACTGAGCTATCTCCCCCTCCCTTGATTAAGCAGGAAAGAGATAGAAACTACTCAATTCATCTATGGCATTGTTTTTATTTAATTTTCCCATGAAGTAGTTGCACTTTACCCTTAGAAACTTGGTTGTATCTTAGTCTCTTTAAAGTTGTGGTGTTAGATTCACTATCTGCAGATCTGGGGTTCAGTTTTTAGCTGAAATTTCTCAACTGTATTTTTAAGCATATTTATTTTGGACCCACAGGTGTACAGAGCAAGATGCAACAAATATGTAACAGTTTATTGGAAAATAACTGGCCTAATATGTGAAGATTACCTAACCAATGCCCACAAAACGTGGCAAATTTTCTTTTAATTCTGTTATTTATCCACAGTGTGCAGCTGGCCCCTGCGTTTCAGGCACATGACCTATTCCACACTACTAATCCTCCAATGTGTAAAGCCTTTAAGCTAGAAATCGCTCCACCCGATGCCATGACTAGTCAAAGGTGCGGTGTGTTCATAGATTATACTACTTTTCAAGTAACTGCTCTAACCAATTCTTATTTGCAGTATATAAAATAATATTAGGAAGCACTGTCCAAGACTCCATTGTTAATGTTGCATTGAAAATGCAGTTAAAGTGGGAATTTAATCCATTGGTTACACAAAGAAAAATAAGTATTTCCTTCCGAAATTGATACTGCATACTTAAGAGGTCCAGAATTATATTTTATGAAAGTTTTTTTCCAGTGATTCTATCAAATACATTTTAAAATAACCAATTCTGAAAATTTTGATTGGCTTTATAACGTTCTTTTGGTTTCTCCTCAGTGAAGTGTCTAAATAAAATGTACTCATGTACTGATGATGTATTCAGTATATGGCAGGTGTTGAATATAACAAGTTACACAGTAAGGCCCTAATCTTGCTCTCATTTAAATCAATAACAAAACTATTATCTTCAGTAGTGCAGTATCAGGCCCCCAACTATTTTTCTTTACATTTTGCACTTACTACTTAAATGCTGAGATATTTGACTGTCTGTGTGTTCAAATCTCTGACACAGAAAGCATTTTATTGCAACATAGAATGCAGTTAGTCTGGGCCACAGCTATGATATACAGGGCCCAGGTCAAGATTTCAAAGCAGGGCCACTCTGTGGCCCAGCTCCCTGCAACAGCCGCATGAGCAGCTACCCCATATTGTTCCTTGGAGCCTCATTTCCTCCTGTTCAAGGGCTAGTCTCACCCTCCCTAGTGTTTGATAATCCATCACCCTTCACCCAGTCAGGCTTTCATATTCACTCAGAGCCAAGACAGGCACTGAAAGAAATGGAGGCATCTACACTCAATTCATTTAACTTCAGGTAAATTAAATAGTACTTTCATGGTCATGGCAACCTGAAAGTGTTATCTAAGTGTGAGAGAGACAGAGACAGATCTCCTTGTGTAAATCAACAATTGGTTATGCCAACCTACACCCACTGAAAATCCAGCCCAGAATATTCATGTTGGTATCTGGGGTAGATCCATTTTGTCCAGGATGAGGCAGTATCAGTAGAGGACAGATTGCCTTTGCTGTCTTTCACTTCAATTAAGAGTAGGGCTGTCAAGCAATTAAAAAAAAAGAATCGCAATTGCGCAATTAAAAAATTAATCGCAATTAAAGGATACTAGACTATAATTTATTTAAATATTTTTGGATATTTTCTACATTTTTCAAATATATTATTTCAATTACACCACACAGTACAGTGCTCACTTTATATTTATTTTTATTACAAATATCTGTGCTGTAAAAACAAAAGAAATAGTATTTTTCAATTCACCTCATAAAAGTATGTAATACAATCTCTTTATCATGAAAGTTGAACTTACAAATGTAGAATTATGTATAAAAATAACTGCATTCAAAAATAAAAATGTAAAACTTTAGAGCCTACAAGTCCACTCAGTCCTACCTCTTGTTCAGCCAGTCACTCAAGCAAACAAGTTTGTTTACGTT